AATGCCTATTCCCAGGGTATGCAAGACCAGGGCCTTGAAGCCCCATGACTGTCTACCTAGATTCCCTGTTTGAGATTCCTTTGGCAATCATCAGCACTCTGGTGCGGTCCCAGGACTGGGCCCACCAATTTGTTGATTGATGAGAAATGCACCCCAGCCCTTGGACCATACCAGAGCATCCAACTCATTTTGGTCAAACAACCCTGGGGTGCATCTCTCTAAGTGGGGAAAACTAGGCTTTTCCTGCCCCTAGAGACATGTCCTGGAGATTCCCAGGGGATGCTTGCAGGAACACCCTCCCTTGTTCAGCAAGATCAATGGGTGGGACAACAGGCGACATGTTTGGCCCAATGAAGCAGATCAGCTGTGCCAAGACAAATCCCAGCACAGTTGATGCATTTCATTTGGCACTGTCTATTTCTAGCCTTAGACTGCAAAAGAGAAATAATGAAAGATTCATTACTTAAGCAGGGATGGATTGATAGGAAACAAGCACTAGATTCACAAAAATGACAGGCTCCCTGTAAACTCTTCTCTGCCCTCAACACATACTCCAGCTAAATTCTTCCATGTATAGCAGCTCCCTCATTATTTTCCTTCTACTCCTTCATTCCTTTTCCACATTCCTCCTTTTCTTGGTTCTCTTCTATCCGAACTCCTCCTCCACACATTGTGCATTTTATCAGTTGCATCTCCTTAGTTCAACTTTCCCAACCAGCTGTAATGTACAACCTCCATTCTGCCTGCCTGAGTGATCACAACTGATCGGCCATCTGCTCACAGGAAGTTCTACGGGGAAGTTCTCAGAATTATTTGAGTAGGGAAGGCAGTTCTGGAGCTGATGTTTTGCAGGGACAACACTTATACCATGAGCCTGGAGAAATCATCTGTTACAGGAGGGGCTCTTCTATTCCTTTCACTACAGAGGGGACAGACCACAGACCGTGGCAATTATCTTAGTGTGCAACAAGAGCTAAATATGGATTCCTGCACGTAGATCCATTGGCCTGACACTGTGCTTTGTGCATTTAAAATTGGACTTTGTTGAAGTGCTGGAGTAAATACCGACTACTGCAAAGGGAAATGCATTTGCAGTTCTCTGTTATCACTAACTCTCTGCCTGGTTTACCTCAAAGTGCTCCCCAAATGAGTCAGACCCTAAGAAAGCACAAGATTGGCATAAAATCACGAGTTTTTAAAATATATGTTTATAGGTGTTTTTATTTGCCATTTGAACCTTTTAAACAGTGGTTCTCAATCTCTTTTGGCTCCCTGCAGCCCTTCATAACTCTTGTCAACTGAGCAGCATCTTGGGCCGGCCCACAATTTTTTGGGGCCCCCTGCAAAATATAGTTTTGGGGCCTCCTGATCCATCAGCAGAGACAACCGTAGCAGGGTGCAGGGCCCGAGGCAAATCAGCCTGTGCGGAGCCCCCTTTCCCGTCCCATGGCTCACTTACGCCGGTATATGAACATCCCAGCACACCGGACACAAGGGGGAGGGTCTGTAACAGTTAAACCAACATCCAACCCACCAGGCGGGCGAGCAGGCTACACTGCAAATGCGGCAGCCACTGCCAAACACGGGAGGGGCCCTTGGCTGCACGGCCCCCTGCAGTCTCAGGTTCTGCAGGATAGGACGGGCCGGCCCTGGCAACGTCCCATTTCAATAGCTAGTTTATATACTGCAATGTTTAACTTCAGGGTAGGGGCAGGGGTGGAGGGAGGAGATGTGAGCACTTTGCTCCTTGCAGAATGGCAGGACAGGGAGGATCCTGAGCTTACCTCCTTGCATTTGAAGCTGAGCTGCTCTCCACACCCTTGTCCAAATTGCTGATGAAGATATTAAATAACACCGGTCCAAGGACCGAACCCTGTGGGACCCTACTACCCACCTCCTTCCAAGCCAAGAACGACCCATGTACCACCACGCTCTGGGTGCGGTCCCTAAGCCAGTTGGCCACCCACCTGACTGGGTAAACTTCCACTCCACAGCCTGCTAGCTTCCTTATAAGAATAGGATGTGAAACTGTATCAAAGGCTGTCTTAAAGTCCAGGTAGATGACATCTGCCTCAGCTCCAGTGTCAAGGCAGTGTGTGACCTGGTCATAAAAGGCTATAAGGTTTGTCAGGCAGGATCTACCTGTGATGAACCCATGCTGGTTTCTTTTCAGCATCATTTCCCCTGCTGGGCCTTCACAAATGTGCTCTTTGATGATTTTTTTCCAGTATTTTCCCAAGGATAGAGGTAAGACTGACTGGCCTAAAGTTACCTGGCTCATCCCTTCTCCCCTTCTTAAAAATGGGCACCACATTGGCCCTTTTCCAATCCTCAGGGACCTGTCCGGAGCACCATGAGTGCTCAAACAGCCATGTCAACGGCTCAGCTATGACACTGGCCAATTCCTTCAGCTAGGAGTAATGGTCACAATCTAGGAGTAATGGTCACAAACTCCTGGAAGATCGTTTCAGGCTCATTTCAGGATCAACATTTGGAAAAACTACTTCACAACTAGGGTGTCCAGACTGTGACCATTACTCCTACTTTTCCCCAAAGGTGCCCTGGTGAACAGTTGTTCACCGAGCCCCAGATGTACGCTTCTGATGTAGCAGTAAGCTGCTACCAAGTCCCCTATCAGCCTTCTCTTTTTCAGGCTGAAGAGTCCCAGGTCCCTCTGCCTTTCCTCATATGCCTTGCTGTGCAAGTCTCTGATCATATGGATAGCCCTTCTCTGGACTCTCTCAATCTTTACCATGTCCTTGTTAAAGTGCGGAGCCCAGAACTGGATGCAGTACTCCAGCTGCAGTCTCACCAATGTCAAGTAGAGCCAAGTAGAGCAGGAGAATCACTTCTTTGCAATGGTTTTGCTGGAGATGCATCAATTGATGCATGCCAGCTTATTGTTGGCCCAGCTGGCTACAGCATCGCATTGCTGGCTCATGTTCATACTGTGGTCAATTATTACCCCCAGGTCTACGGTGGCAAGTGATGGAGGATATTCAGTCCTGCTGAGTGACCTCCTCACACCAGGGGAGAGAAGAGTTGGGGACCACTTAGCTCTTCACACAGAGGCCAGCAGAGGTAAGCGTGGGCTTACATCTTTGCACTGGAGCCAGCCAGAGAAGAGTCTGTGCTTGGCTTCTTGCATAGTGGCCAGGAGGGGAAGAATGAATACTTATCTCCTTCCCCCACACACCACCTTCAAAATATTTCACAGCACCCCTATTGAGAACCTCTGCTCTAGAGATTGCAGATGGGATTCTGGGTTTACCTCTATGGGTATGTCACAGTAGTGGCTGCAGTGTAGCGTAGAGTAGCCCAACCTATCTGGTTTAAACAAGTTAGTGTGGGTACCAGAAGCAGAACAAATTGCCCTGTTCTCAGCAGAGAACTCACACGGTGAGATGGAGCTAAGGGAGCTTTTAGTTATCGTTTGTACCTCTTCAGGCCTGAGTTGTTACAAGGGCTAGAATAGCCTCAGTGTATATTAGCCAGCCCTCATGGCTTCTCCTACCTACAGCAGTGTCCCGTATGGGTCCCACTGCGTCTAGGAATCTCTGTAGTCCAGGTGTCTAATCTCTGATCCTAACAAGTCCTGCTTGTCCTCCACTCCTGCATGGGGACCGCAGGGCTGCCTCTGTCATCCTAGTCCACATACTGTGAATCCTCCTGTGGCCAGAAATGGGCTTTTAGAGGCTCTTTATGATGTTACAGGTCTTTCATGCAACAAAGAGATCAGGGCAGGAGTAGGGATTTCAATCATGTTTTCAAGTTTCCCTGTGTAGCTATGAGAGTTATAAACTCCTTTTAAAAAAACATGAATGCTGAGATTCTGATGTATTCACTGGATTCCAGGAACAGAGGCTTCAGGACCAAAGCCAAATATCAGGAGACTTGTGATAAAAATTTCAAGAGCTGGCAGACAAGTTTTCAGCTGTCATAAACAGGCTGAGCGCACACACCTACTTGCAGCAGCTAAGAATCTTGTCCTTGACATATCTACTTACTCTCTTTGCTGAAATGCATTGTTTCAAAATGCTCTCCATCACTTAATTTATGCTCCCCTTCCCCAAGTAGTGTGAGCTACATGAGTGGATCTGGATTCTTGTAAAGCCACTTTCCAAACTTGAAGTTATTTTTTTTTTAAATAAAATAGCAGCAACCTTAAAGGAACACAGATGTTTTATACACAGGAAGCACTATCTTAGGATATCTTCTTTGGAAACTATTGAGAACTAAATTTGCAAATGTGAAAAAAACATGTCAAATTAACATATCAGTCATGGAAATGGGAATTAAAAGCTAAGAATATAGAAATGATCCAGTTACTTACAGTTTGGTTGTGGTCTCGCAGGGAATGCAATTCGGATAATAGTTATGAATATGAAAACAGTCACTGGCCAGCAAACTAATATGAGGGACCAAAGCTACAAGAAAGCAATAAAGATATATTGGTTACATTTATGGTATTAGTGAGCCCCAGAGTAAGGTTGAAAGGTAGAAATACTACTGTAGATTTACTATGTGACATACCATAAATAGTGCCAGCCTTGATATAAACATTATTAAAAATCAGATGCTATTTAGGTGGAGAAAAGAACTGCAAAATTATGCTAATATAGTCACTGAAAATTCTTGTGTTTCAGCTTTTCTATCTATAAACTAGGGATAATAATGCTTATGCAATTCTGTAAAGCATATGAAGATTGTGCTAATAGTAACACCACCTTAAAACATGCAAAAAATTTCCCAATTATGATTATAATGCCTAAAAGTCAAAGCGTGAGAAGAGTTTTACTATCAAGATAACAAGACACCAACTCTATTAATTGCTTTAAAATGAGGCTTCATTTGAGTAATTATGTTTTTAAAATATGTTAAATCTAAGAATTTAGGTATGTGTTAATAGCATAATCTTGATATTTTTGTAGTGATGAACATAAAACTCTTTCCAGACAATAACACATGAAGCTGCATGATATCTACATGTATATGGAAAGTATTTTGATCCCTTCCACAGATGGGGAAACTGAGGTTTAGTACGAGGACCCCCACATGTAAGAGAGTAAGTTGGAGATGGGACGCACACCTTGCTGGGGTTATTTTACCCTAGCATCTTTCCTGCCTAAAGCAGGGGGGCTGGACACAATGATCTCACAAGGTCCCTTCCAGCCCTAAACGTCTGTGGTAGAAGATGCAAGAAGAGAACCCATGTTTCCAAAATCTCACTGCAGAACTTCAGCCATGCTCCCGACATGTCAGCCATCTTTCTGTTTTTAAATGAAGCCCCAGTGTGGAAGTATCTGTTTTAAAATGGAGTGCTTCCAATGATGACATGACAACTGGTCCAGCATGTTGGAGAAGGTGCGGAAACTTGTACGCACATCTTGACTCCTACACACAGGGGTTGCCACATTATCGCGGTTTATTACAATGAGAATGAAGAAAGGCAATCAGATTGTTGTTAGAGTTAGCAGCAAACTGGTTCAGATAAGAGAGACAGCCTAAATATTCATCTGAAAGGTAAAACTGAGCTCTGTCACTGTTTTTGAGTTAGGGAAAGGCCAGATGCTTATGAGGACTATTCATTTCAACTTATTTTTGTACTTAAAAAACCAGCTTAGCATTTTCCAGTTAACTGTAGTTAAGGTCAACTACAACTGACTGGGAAATGCTAAATGCTAAACTATTTTCATAACAAACAAACTATTTCATAGCATTTCAGAGATGCTTTTCTCCAAAACTAGCAGGGTTCATTACATTTGACATATACAGTATATGGTGTATGTATATGGTACATGTATGTGTATATGTGTGGGTGTGGACACACCCATTTTCCAAAAGTTTAGTCAAACTTCACCAGTGTTTTCCTGCTGTGTAAAATTTGCTAGAGGTAAACACCCCCTGGATTCTTTTCCAAGATACACTATCACATAGAAGGACTATAGTTAAATCTGTGGAGATCATGTGAACAGCCATGTAGCTGAAAGCAGGACACATTTCTGAAGGTGGGGCAGTGGACATTCACACTGACCAATGATACAAAGAACCCAGGCAAATCAGAGACCAGCAAACCTGCTCTTTCCCAGTTAGAGAGGGTACTCCTGCTATGTCAGCATTCAACAGTATTTTAGCCCTTACAGCCAAATGATTTACATGCCTTTCAGTTACTGTTCCATTTATAACATTGTTGAAACCCATATAATTTCATCATTCCTTTATGTTATTACCCACTTTTCCCACATACAAGTTATTATTGATATAAACTCCTTTTCTACCATAATTGTAGGTCACAGTGGTAATGGGAGCAGGATAAGAGCCTATTAGGTAAACAACAGCTGCTTATAGGGAGGAAAATAGAATGTGCAGTGCTGTTTTGGGGCATCAAGAATAGAAATACATATTGCATTTACCTGTTTAGGTACTTTTTGTGCTTTCCGATTTAAGGCCGGAATGACAGCACTGCTCTTCCCTTAGCATCTCTCTCTCTCTCTCTCTCAATTAAATTTAATTGCAGGCCTGAACATTAGTTGCATCCCCATTATCTTCTGACTGTTCCAAGGCATTTTGGTTAACAGGAACATAGCAGCCTCATCGCACCCAAATTAATCACTAGTGAAATGCCACAGAGTTGTCCAGAATTACATTAGTGATGAATGTATATTATGAATTATTATTGAGTCCTACAATACATAACAAAAATCATGTAACCCTCTAGCTGTTAGGTTAACTTGCTTGCTAAGTAAAAAGCATATATGTCTTAGTTCCAGTGTATCCAAGCATTTTCTCAGTCCATGCACTGGTTTCCCTACCACCAAAGTGAGGAGCTGTACTGTGCAGAAATTACAGTAAATGGAGAGAGAGATGAAAGGCAGTGCACAAGAAGAGAGATTCTGTATCATGGACTGACAGAACCCTGCATTCCCTTGGCATGTGGCAAATCTTGCCTTCCCTATGAAGGGCTATGTGCAAACCAACAGAGATTCCTACCACCTATGTTGGAATAGTCCATAGGGTAATCACATGGATCAGCTGGCAGATCCTCAACTGACTTTAGTAGAGCTATGAAAATTGACACCAGCTGAGCAGCATCCCTCTGTTACCTATGTGGAAGTAGCCTAAATAAGAGACTATGGGAACCTACTTTTAATGTTAAGAGATGAAACATAAGAAAAACCAGACAATATACCTCCAAGGGGCTGACAGTGGTGACGTATAGAGGGTGCACGGGGCTATACATACACCCCCTGAGAGCACTGGTGCACCCCCTGACAGGCTTCCTGCTAAGGTGATGGGCGGGGGGGCAGCCAGGAGTGCCAGTGGCCCCCCGCCCCCCTTTGTGAGTGCTGGCTAGGAAGTCACTTCCAGGAGCTTCCTGGTCAATGTGCTGCAGTCACTTCCAGGAGCTTCCTGGTCGATGTGATTGGCCGCTGCGGGACCCCCTGCCCCCCATTGGTGCAATTAGTCACTGACTGGTTGCTGGGGGGGCACATGCAGGGGGTGGGGCACAACTAAGGCGGCACCAGTCACCCATGGGTTCTGATATATTTCCTTGGAGCTGAACTAGGTGACCTCAGGAGATCACTTCCAGACCTACTTTCCTATGATACCATAAAGTTATAAAAAAGTTTTTAAAGCCATTTTCAAAGGATGAAGGCCTGCAGCAGTACACACAACATACTGATGAGACAAAGGAAGGGCAAACAGGTTTATAAATCCAATTTAGCTATTTCAACTGAATTACAAAGTTACCTCTACTTATCAAAAGGAAAAAGAGAGAGGCAGAGGCAGAAAAGCAGTTTCCAGAATGAAGAAATGTGAATAAATAAAAGTAAAATCTAGAGAAGAGATAAAAATTAGCAGATGATAAACCAGAAATACCCATATATTAAGCTTGATTCTCCTTTCACTTCCATTGATGAAACAATAGATTTACACTGATGACAAGGGAGGGGGAAAATTAGAATGCTTTTTTTTAAATTCCTCCCCCTAAATTCAGCCAGTTCTATAATGGGAAGGAGGGGTCATCCTCAAAAATTCAACACAAATTGTTCTGATTTTCCTTTGAAGTTTCATCAACATTTCAAAAATTTCTACCAGGTGTACATGGGACTGAGGAGAAGAAAGCTTGGTGGCGGGCAGGATGTTGACTGGTGGTGATATGCGATACAAGATCTAACAGAGTCACCTGAGAATTCTATCACTGAATACAACTAGCCTATATGAGGAATTACTAAAGATCATTCATCACTAATCATGTTTAGGTTCTTCTATATCAAGGGTGGGCAAAAAATGGCCCGTGAACCAGATTTGGCCTGCCAAGGCAATTCATCTGGCTTTCAGTGGGTCCCTTAACCCTGGTCGGCCCAGGTGTGAGTGGCAGCTCGGGTGTGTGCTGCTGGTCCTGCTGCCCCCAGTGCAACAGCTGGACTATGCAGGGATGGGGCAGTGCAAAAGCTGGACAATGTTTCCCGGCAGTCCCAGCAGTGACTCCTTCTAGCTGTTGCTGCCAGACCTGGCCCCACTGCCCAGGCACTCCAGCCTGTCTGCCCCACACCCCCAACCAGGGGCACTGGACAGGGTCTCCAGGGAGACTAGCTGGGATCCACACAGCCTGGCAGGGCACATAGCCAGACAGCTGGGATAGGGCCATGGATAGACAGGGAGCAACATCCAGAAGTGGGCCAGGGGGTCAGGGCCAAGGATCTGGATCAGAATTGAGGGATGGTGACACCGTGGGGCTGGGTCCTGGCCCCGGGCCCAGACCAGAGCTGCAATCCTCTGGATGGGCAAGTGGGACCAGAGCAGGGCTGGGATCGGGATCACAGGGTGCTCACGATGCAGGGTTGGAACAGAGCCATGATCAGCAGCACATCCCTGCGGCAGGTACTAGCTCTGTGGGCAAGGAGCATGTGGGGAGTCTATCACAGCTCTGCCTTGGACCCTGGCCCTGCTCTGCCACCACCCTGCAATCCCAATCCACAGCCCCACCTGCCCATCCCACTCCCAGACGCAGATCCCTGCCCACTCACAGCCACTTCCCACCTGCCTGGCTCCATGCCCTGCCTATGTAGGTCCCAGCGGGTCTTCATGATGGAGACCTCAGGATTGCTGGGTAGTGACAGTGTGGAGCTGGGGCCCAGGGTCCAGGGCAAAGCCTTGACCCACACAGCCTTGACTGCAGAACCAGCACCTGTGGCAGGGATGTGCAGGGAGCGGATCATGGCCCTGTTCCTGCCCCACACTGTCAGTGCCCTGAGATCCTGATCCCAGCCCTGGCCCTGGCCCCACCTGGCTGTCCTGCTCACAGATATTGCTCCCCACCCACACGCAGCCCCATACCAGCTGCCCAGCTGCATGTGGGGGGGCACTTAGGGAGTTTTGGTGAGCTGTAACAAGGGGTGGGGAGGACAGTGCTGGCCTGGCCCACAACAGCTCACTAAAACTGTCTAAGTGGCCCTCTGACCAAAATAATTGCACCCCACACTCCCCAATTCTATGTCATGGGAATTTTTCTGTCCAACTATTCAGAACATATATTATTCGTTGATTCGAGTTATCATTTCATCCTAGGCCCAGTCCTGAGAAGCAGTGAATCCCTGCAGCTCCCTCTGATGTAAAAATGAGTCACAGGTCCTTCCTTCACATTTTTCAGGCTCCAGCCTGTCTTTCAGGATTGTTATCAATGGTAGAAACTCTATAGGTGAGGATGGCAGTGTGTGATATAGACATTAAGTAAATTTGATAGTGACTCAGTCTACACTGCAACTCGCATATTAATCCCTCTGTCATTCTCTCCTATCCTCCAGCAGTTTCTGCAACTATCGACTCTTGTTCAAGGCAGCGTAGTTTAAAATTCATTCAATTTGGATTTCTAATAAAGAGATATTTAACCTAGGTCCACTAACTTGAATGTATGCATATGATAATTACAGCATAATTAGCAATACCCTGCTGAATACTGGAAATCAACATTGGTACTGAGTCAGGTAGCCATCACCCAGCTAAGCAATAACACAACACATCATCCACATTCATGGGGGTCTATTCCTAATGCAGTTGGATTTTGCCCTGCTCTCTGACTACTGTTGGGGATGGTTTATCCTGGGATGTAAAGAACTTTATGAGAGAAACTGCCTGCACTCTCCACCTTTGGAAGGTGCTGGACTGCACTTAATGTACTCCATTAAAAATAATTCTGTCTACAGTCTCTACAATGGTATTATCTTCCCCATCCATCCTTGACAAACAGCCCGATGAAGGTGGCCCCTGCATACCAACAGCCGGTTACCTTTAATATATGGGTGAAGAAGTTTGCTCAACTGGAACTGGTAACAGAGCTGGCCTTTTCATTGCCTGAATTAAGGAATTGAATGTGGCCATGATCCTACTTCAGGTTTCTGATGGCACGGCTCTTCATGCCCCCATGAAACCTCCCGGCTTCCATGGAACTCCACTTCCCTTCCAGGGTCTATACTAGCAGATACCTCAACAGCTACAGATTTCTCCTTCTTTTCTGTTCTGTTTTCACACTCACCGATTGCCTCTTGACACTCAGCCAGTTTTTCCACAGCAAGATTCTCAGATGCTGGAAGAGTGAAGCCATCCTTGGAAAAACCCAGGCAAAAGTAGACAAGACTTCTCTCTCTTTCCCCCCAGTCTCAGAAAGCAAAAACTGATGCTCTTACTCAGCCAAATGTCCAGTTTTTAACATATGAGCCTCTCTCTCCTCCCCACAGCATAGTTTTGGAGCAGCCACCTTATCCTCTGGTGGCTACTGTATTCAATATGAATCTAGTTCCCTTCCTCACAGCAATAGCTCCTAGCAAATTTAACAGGTTATTCTTCTATTGACAAGGAGCCAGACAGAGCAGCCTGTCTCCACTTGTGTTAATTATAATATCCAGTCTCTCTCAACTCTGCTTTGTTCAATCCCTGAATGAGAAAATGGGTGTCATTCCAAGAAGATGCTTTGGCTCAAGTAAAAGTTAATACACGCCTCCTCCTCCTCATGATGAAACTATCTACCTACCCACACACAGCACCTGTGCAAGAGATGTCATAAAAATCTAGTAAGTAGGCTGCTTGCCAGATCAATATGGCCAGCAGTTTCTCTACCCTCCTATAATACATGCAAAAGGGTTGGAGTCATAAAGCAGCAGTAGCAACAGTATGTACCTGCTCTCCATAGCTAAAGCAGAATTAGATTTATAGACTCTGAGTTTCTCAATTAAACCTAAGCATCAAGGGAAATATGTGAAGTATGTTAAGGACAGCCCTAGCACATAAAACCTAAAACACCCTGGACTGATGCAAATTCCAAAAATGGACCTTTCTTTCCATTGGGCTCGATTCTGCTCTCTTTACCCAAACAGTTCGACTCCCATTGAACTTAGTAAGCAAACTGAATTCAGGGGAAGCTTTGCTGCAGGATCAGGTCCTTTATAAGGTTAAATCAGAACGTTATTAATTATTTGGCTATAAAGTTTTTGTTTCATGCTGGTAGCTAGGTGGTTAGAAAAGCAGGAATGTATAAAAAGAAAAAGCAGAGAAAGAGAGATTGACACAGAGAGAAAGAGAAAGATGGATAATGCAGAGGACAGCATTGCCTCACAGGGTACATCTAGCACTGGAGAACAGAACAAACAGGAATTTCGGAACCAGATATATGACTACTTGATGCACTAGTGGAATAGCTCACCACCTCAGCCAGAGGGGAGAATCTGAGCAGTTTTGTTTTCATGCAGAAGAGAGTAGTGGAACATGCACACACATGTTTCTTACCTTCTAATGCCAAATTCATTATCAAATTCAATTTCCCTTAGCTGTAGTTCAGACTGAAAGTCAGGAGCTGGAGGAATTTATGAGCAGTCCAGCAGTCAGTACATTTAATCTCTAACAGTAAAAGGCAACAAACTGGAGAAAGGCTAAGAATAAAAATTGTTATCTGAAATCCCTCTTACTACTAAATCTTGAGGGACCAGGTAAATTAGGACCCACTCCTTTTTGACTGCACAAAACCCTAGCCAGAAGGGTTTGAAATGAAGATAGTGCATAATCAGAAAAACATATCTGAACTCCTAAACTTTGAGGCCAAATGCAGTAGGTACCAGATCTGAAATAGTGCTAGGTTGTTTTTGCAAGCGACAAGTGACAGGGGAAGACCAGAACCCAATATTGTCCATTTCCACACTAAGTCAGTATGACTGCCAGCAAGCCATTTTAATAGGGATTAGAGTGGGAAGAACACCTATTAAGTTACCCATCACCCCCTTGTCTGGGCATTGCATACAGTGTTCATGGCCATAAAAGACCCTTTTCTTCCAAAAGAGAGATTGACTACTTGAATTAAAGGAAAGTTTCCCACATCTATTAATTTAGGAGGAGTGATTCATTTACCTATCTAGTCAGCCATTAGACAGAACCCTGGTCTCAAGCTCATAAACCCTCGAACAGTGGTGAAACAAGTTTGCTGGATTTCCTGAGCAGTCAGGATGTTTCACAGTGCATTGTTAATGCCAACAGTGTGCCCTTGTTGCAAAGAAGGCTAACAGCAAATTGGGCTGCATTAGTAGAAGCGCAGCCAGTAGAAGTGATTATTCCCCTGTATTCACCACTGGTGAGGCCACATCTGGAGTACTGTGTGCAGTTTTGGGTCCCCCACTACAGAAAGGATGTGGGAAAATGGGAGAGTCCAGAGGAAGGCAGCAAAAATGGTTAGGGGGCTGGGGAATATGACTTCTGAGGAGAGGCTGAGGGAACTGGGCTTATTCAGTCTGGAAAAGAGAAGACTGCAAGGGGCAGGAGGGAGGGGGGTTCAACTACCTGAAGGGTGATTCCAAAAAGGATGGAACAAGATTGTTCTCAGTGGTGGCAGATAACAGAACAAGGAGCAACAGTCTCAAGTTGCAGCAAGGGAAGTTTAGGTTAGATATTAGAAATAAACTCTCTCACTAGGAGGGTAGTAAAGCACTGGCACAAGTTACCCAAAGAGGTTGTGGAATCTCCATCCTTGGAGGTTTTAAAGACTTGGCTAGACAAAGCCTTGGCTGGAATGATCTAGTTGGGGACGGTCCTGCTTTGGGCAGGGGGGTGGACTAGATGACCTCCTAAAGATCCTTCCAACCCTCATTTTTTAAGATTCTATGAAAATACAGGACCTTGATGTAGGAGAAGAGGGGAATATGGGGACATTGGAACTCTTACAGGAGATATTAGGGGGCACTGATGTGAGCGCAAAAAGCTGAGAAAGACAGAAAAGACACAGAAAAGTGAAGGAGAAAAGTGAAAATGAAAGAGAAAGGCTTGAGGTAGGCAGGGATGTGGGGCCCTGCTGTGAAGGAAGGAGAATGTGGAGAGAGGAGAAGGAGAATGGTGGGCATAGCGTGAATGCAGAGCTGCTGGCATGTGGGGCATGGAGGATACAAAACCCTAGCTGGGGGAGACTGGAGGACCCTAGTATGAAAGCGGGGCCATAAGGACTCCTCCAAACCAAAGCTCCAGATACAAGGGAGAGGAGTGGGGAAGCTGCCCGGAAACCTGAAATATGAAGGATGGCACGGTGGAGCTGTACTGGAGGATTTGTATGGAGATATACTGTGTGCATATGTGTATGTGTGCACATATGCACATTTGCGCATGTGTGCAAGGAATTTAGCCTAGAAAACTACCAAGTTTGTCACCCAGTTTTTATATTTCTCTACAATATACATTGTCAAGCCTCACAAACCAATCAGTGGAGATGGCAGAATCCCTCAGGATTCATATTTAGATGAGAGTCACATTTGGCAGGGCAATGATTCATAGGGAAAAATGAAAATTTTCTTTCCAAATTTTCTCTATGAGAAAAGTGGATTCTCAACTGAATTAAAATGTTTCTGGAAAGTGTCTTCTTGCCTCAATTTTTTTTTTTTTTAAATCAATAAACCAAAAAAGAAAGCTTCCAGAAAAAAAAGTTTTTATAAGGAAAACAAAAACTTTGGCTAATTATCAATTTTTAAGGTTTAGCAATTGGGGGAAGAAATTCTTTTGTTTGTTTGTTCACCTGCAGCTTGGGACCAAAAAAATGTTTGCGTTTTGATAAGGTTTTTTGGGGGGAAGAGGTTGGGTTTTGGTGAAAGTTACATATATTTCATGGAGAACAAAATATTTGTTCTCACCAGCTCCAATGACTCACAAAATCTTGAAATCCACTGTAAACATACAACTCCTCCTTTCCCATCCTGTCACAAGCCTTTCTGGAGTCAGGATGTGCAGGATTATATTCCTGTTTCTGTCAGTTTTCCCATCTGAGCAAATAAATTTAAGTTTTCTCAGCTCCAGTTTCCCTATGTATAAAATGGAGATAGCAATGCCTATCTCAAGGAAAAAGTTTTGCTGGCTGGCTGGCTGACTGATTGATTGAATGGCTGATGTTTGTGAAGAACACAAATTCTGGACACAAATTCTGAAATTCTGGACTGAATGATACCACAAAACGTAAGAACTACAATTTGCTGGGTGAGACCATAGGTCCATCTTGTCTGTTAAGCTGTGTCACACAGTGCAGAGCGTGGATGCTGAAAGGGAGCGTGAACACGGTGTGACCAAGGTTTTTCCCATGTTCCCCGCTCATTTGCTGCCTCCAGCATTAAATGTCCAGAAAGTTTTGATTCAGAGGCTGTATCCCTTATTCCCATGTCCAATATCCACATTTCCTCCAAGAATTTGTCCAGTTCTTTTTTTGAAGCTGGTTAAACTGTTAGCTTCTCCACAACATCTGGCAATGAGTATCACACTTCAATTACACACTAATGTAAAAAAGAACTTTCTTTTCTTAGTTTTAAACTTACTACAGACTAGCTTCATTTTCTTGTATGAGAGAGTAAATAATAAATCCCTATTTACTTTCTCTTCAACATTTAGTATTTTGTAAACTTATCATGTCTCCCCTCAAGTGTGGGGTTCTTTTAACTGAATAGCTGCATAGCTTCTTTAGGCTCTCTTTATATGGAAGTCCCTCCATATGAGTGCAAAATATCATAATTCCTCTCCTTCAAGGACTGAATGAACTACCCATGTTCTAGCCCAGGCAGCACACACCCTGTGCTTTGCAGTCCTCTGGATTACAATGCCATTTGATTACGAGGCTGGCTCTAGGATCCTGTTTATCATACCTCATTTCTTCGTTGTTTGGGGTTACTCAAAAAAGTGTCCTTTTATTAAGTTCTTGCACCATACATCCTCACTGCAGGCAGAAAAAAGTCTAGCCTTAGGTGTGATTAGAAATGCCCTGATTGCCCTTGATCACTGTCTGAATGCATTAGCCTATCCCCAGTGCTTTCATTCCCCTCAAAGGAAAGTAGTAAGTGGGCTGACAAAAAGACTGACCTGGTTTTCCATTAGACTGTATTGTAGACTAAAGCTTTTCAGTGCCCCATTTAATCCTCCTGCAGACAAATATTAAAAATAACAGCTCAGATTTTCAGCTGGCTGATTCCACTGGAGCTGTATAGATACATACCAGGTGAAGATCTGACTCAAAAAGGCTAGGGTGGTATGCACATCCAGGCCAAAAATCTGAAACAATACATGAACCTTAGTGAAACAATACATGAATCTACATATGATCAAACAAGACAACACTGCCAAAGCCCACAGATGAGAGCACAACCTTCA